TTAGCATATTACCCTTTTATTAGTATAGATTGTTTCCCAGAAAGCAGGGCCCAGAGAGAATGGGATATGGGGCAGGAAAGGTTTGATAGGCTGGGAAAAGTAGAGAAAAGGGTCTGGGGAGGGGAAGAGGCCTAGGGTTGTAATTGGAAAAGGACACCTAACGTTTTGCCTACTTAATTATCTTTGATCTGGTGTAATTGTTTGCCTTCTGGTCTCTAATATCAATAGCATTCGATATTAGAAAAACCACCTAAGGAGTGTTTTAAAAATAATGATGCTGCCTGGCTGGAGTGGCTCAGTGGTTGAGTGTTGACCTATTTACCAGGAGGTCATGGTTTGATTCTGGGTCAGGGCACATGCCTGGGTTGCAGGCTCGATCCCTGGGTTGCAGGCTCGATCCCAGGAGGCAGCCAATCAATGATTCATCAATGATGTTTCTATCTTTATCTTCCTTCCTCTCTGAGATCAATAAAAGTATATTTTAAAAATATAATGATGCCTAGGCCCATCTAGGACCACTGACTCGGAATTTCAAGGAGACAGGTGGGAGCAAGCAGAGAGTGGCCATTTTTTAAAAAATTTTTATTGATTTTTTACAGAGAGGAAGGGAGAGGGATAGAGAGTCAGAAACATCCATCAGCTGCCTGCACACCGCCCCACTGGGGATGTGCCCACAACCATGGTACATGCCCTTGACCGGAATCAAACCTGGGACCCTTCAGTCCATAGGCCGACGCTCTATCCACTGAGCCAAACAAGTCAGGGTAAGAGTGGCCATTTTTAAGAGGGTCCTGAGATGATTCTCTCTGTGCAGCTCTGGATGAGAATCACTGCTCCATAGGTACATCTTCTCCAGCACTGAGTACAACGCTGCTGAAGCAGGTAACAAACAGACCCCAAAACATGCCCTTCTCACTGGGCAACTTGGGACTCAAGAGTTAAAAGGGCAAATTACAGACCAATGGCACCAGTTGCCAAATACTGGTTCTGCAGGCAAATGCAGGTCAAAGAGGAGGCCTCATAAGGCAGATGTTGGCTCATATCCATGGCTGTAGGTCTGTGATAAAGAAGTTGTTGTTTTTTTAATTGATTTCAAGTGGAAGGGAGGGAGAGAGAGATAGAAACATTAGTGATGAGAGAATCATTGATCGACTGCCTCCTGCTCACCCCACACTGGGAATTGAGCCCACAACCTGGGCATGTGCCCCGACCGATCAGGAACCAAACCATGACCTCCTGGTTCATAGGTCAACAACGCTCAACTACTGAGCCATGCCGGCCAGACAAGCAGTCTGTTTCAGCTCACACAATCTTTTGGCTGTTAGGACCATTAAGAATCACCTGGTTTTACTTTTATCTCCAGGCATGTAAGGACAGAAGCAGCAGCCCAGAAACTAGAAGCAAAGTCAAAAACAAAAAATCCTACCCCCTTGATGTATTTTATGAAGATAACCTTAAGATTCACTTAAATTTTTTTAAAATGCTCATACCCAGGTAAGATGCTATTTAACCCAATTGTTAATTTAGCCATTATTTATTCTAAGAAGCTACAATAGGAGTTCCCAGTCTGTCTGGGCCACTACAATTCCATAATCTCATGTCCCTTATCTGAATTTGCCTCATTTCATTTACCAAATGTTGGTTACAAATTTGTTTTAATAATGTCAGGTCTATGTTGAACTCTATAGCTAGGAGAGCCAAACAGCTTTCAGTTTTAAAAAGAATCACTTGCTACTTGATATTATTGAACTTGAATGTATCACTACAAAGTCATCCTGCAATTAATTTCCTTTTCCTAATGGGGCGTGTGGCTGGTAGTAACAGTGCACCCCTCACTCCTGGAGGATAGGCTCTGCCTCACATTCATTCAGAAGGTCTCCTGGGTTAAGTCTGACCCTCCCAATCTATATAATAAAAGCATAATATGCTAATTAGACCAGACGTCCTTTCCAGATGACCTTCTGGACAAAGCCGGGGCTGCGAGGGAAGCTCAGGTCCCGGGTGCCTGCCAGTGGCTGGAGGGAAGCCTGGGTCCTGGGTGCCAGAGGGAAGCCAGTGCCGGCAGCCGGGGGAAGGAAGGACTACTCTTGCACGAATTTCATCCATTGGGCCTCTAGTATAGTAATAAGTAGAAAAACCTCAATGAGGGTGCCCAGTCTCTCCCTTCTAGAACAGGGGTGGGCAAACTTTTTGACTCGAGGGCCACAATGGGTTCTTAACTGGACCGGAGGGCCGGAACAAAAGCATGGATGGAGTGTTTGTATGAACTAATATAAATTCAAAGTAAACATCATTACATAAAAGGGTACGGTCTTTTTTTTTTTTTTAGTTTTATTCATTTCAAACGGGCCGGATTCGGCCTGCGGGCCGTAGTTTGCCCACGGCTGTTCTAGAAGGTACTACGAGGAATCTGCCGCTGTTACACACAATGTCAAGCCTCATTCACATCTTCCAAGTTGCCCTTGGGTAACATAGGACGTATCAAATGACTTACTGTATTTTCTGTGGTCTAGAAATCTGCCAAATTGAAAGCGACAGTTGTATATTAGTTTCAGGTTTCTTCTTACTTTTCTTTCTTCATTGTCCATAAACATGCTCAGGGAACTGTGTACTTGTGTGACACGGTCTTTGCCCCTAGACATGCCAGCAATGCTCTTGAGAGACAGGTTTGCAAGGGATGCATGTTAATAGTCTATGTCAGGCGTCCTCAAACTACGGCCCGCGGGCCACATGCGGTCCGCCGAAAACATTTATCCGGCCCGCCGGGTGTTTTTGCCGCCGCTGCCTGTCCTGCTTAACAGCTGACTCGTCCCGGGCCCGCAGTGCGCTGTGTGGAATGCCTGAGGGACAGTGAACTGGCCCCCTGTTTAAAAAGTTTGAGGACCTCTGGTCCTTAGGAAAGACACTGGGTACTAGAGAGAGTTAGGGAATGGACGTAATCACAGGGGTCTGAAGTCTAGAAAGGCTTCTTAGAGGAGAGGGAGACTCAAGATGGCCCTGTAAGTAAAAGTAACAAACAGAGACAAGGATGAGCCTTCTAGACAGGGGAAAATAATTATGTTAATAAAGCATCCATCTGTAAAACAACCTGGGAGAAAGAAATCAAACTAAATTTCATGGGCATTTTTGGGTCCTATGGGAAGAAAATTAACTACCAATGGTATAAAACCAGATGGCTACAGGAAGTTATTGGCTATAAGATGCAAGGTGTAAGAATGATACTAGGAATTCATTCACAAAGAAGTTATTTTTGCTCCTAACAACTTCTGGCAAAGGGGTAAATTACCTAAATGTTAGATATTATTAGATCCACATTGCTATGAATATTAAGATCCTCACTTGATGGAAATTCTTAACCCCCCCAAAACATAAGATGAAACCCTGAAAGTCTCTTTTAGTTATAACAGTGATACACTGAGTAATTCCTACTGTGCATGGTTTTTCCACAAATAAAATAAAACCAACCCTCACTGGATTTCCCAAAGAATTCTTCCTAGAGTTTTTAGAATAAGCATTTTGAGCTATTTAGACGATAGAAGGCAGGTCTATCCACTGAAGAGTAGGAGTGAGGTAGATGGAAGGAGCTGAGCTCCTTTGTTTTCCAATCTCCACCAAGATTTAAAAGCTAAAGGTAAAAGAGAAAATATCACTTTAAGAAAAGGAAAATCAAACTGCCAAGATTTATTTAACTTTTTTCTTTCACAGAAAATATAAGTATGCAATGTAAACACTGACACGTGAAATAAAGCACAAGGATCAGGAAGACAAATCACTTGAACAATCTCTTGCTCCAGCACTGGACTGCTTCCTGACAGCATTTGCAGCATGACCACCTGGTTATATGCACTGGAAAAATTGAAGGCAACATTCACTTAGATTTATTGAAACACCAGAGAGCCTCTGAAATACAACAATGCCATACGGAAGTCTGATCTTTCTCTTGCAAAAAAATTAAAGCTGAACACATGTCCATTTACTGACTTACCAAGGCATGTAATTTAATGTAGGAGCGTAAGAATGAATTAACACATGAGCTTTAATGTGCCTGTGCAGGCATAGATGAAATTGTGCCTCTTTTCCTTCTCCAGAGAAAATAAAATTAACCCAATTAAAAGCAGAGCTGCCTGGCACTGCCCAGAAGGCAGCACAATCACAGTGAGTTCTTATTTCAATAAACCCCAGGAAATGCAAAACACGATCAAGGACTGCCATTGGTGCTTTGCCCAAATGGTCACTCCAGATCTAATGTTGCAGAACCACATGGAGTTTTCAAGGTTCTTTCCAAGAACTCCAAACTAAAACAAACAAACAAATAAAAACAACAACAAAACGACCCAAATAAATGGTTGGGATCAAGAACCACCTTGATTTAAAACAATGTTTCTAAACTTGAGTTCAATAATAAAGAGTATGGGCTTCAATTTTCTGTGATTATCCCAAGAGATTAAAATGACCAGTCTTCCTCTGGCTGGGTAGTTCAGTTGGTTAGAGCATCGTCCCAATATGCCAAGGTTGGGGGTTCAATCCTTGGTCAGTGAACATACAATGAATGCATAAATTAGTGGAACAAAAAAATCAATGTCTCTCTCTCTCAAATAATAAAAAATAAAAAAATAAGTAAAATTACCAGTCTTCTTTCTTATCAGATGACAACTACCCAGTGACAGGTAAACTTTGGCAATAGATGCCTATTACACAGTTTGGTTCAGCAATGGGACTCAGTGTTGTAAGATGCGGCGTTCAGATCCGGCTGCTTCAGAGATCAGAGATCAGAGTCCTGGTATTGCCAAGTACACCCACTCCCGCACTCAGCTCCATAATCAAAGGCTATTACAAACAATCTATAGTCCTTCATTCCTTGATATTGCACAATCTATGGAGAAATAAGTACCTCAGACACTTCACTCTTATAATGGGCAGAGGGACAGCTCATGCTGAACACTGATTCTCTAGAGGAGAAATGTTACTCTGACCAGGTGTTTGAAACTTTTCCCCAGCAAGCTAACCCCCCTGTACTGCTGAGATGGAGATTTATAAATGTGTTTATATAAATATCACATGAACAATGCCTTCATAACAAAAAACATTCATTTTTTTCTACCCTGACCTATAGCATTTGGCACAGTGTCCTGCAGTTTATTGTGCTCTCATTAAAGATATACGTAGAACAGAGAAAACCAAAATCAGGTTTTAAAAGGAACAGGAACTGATATTCCCCAGGAATCCCTGGCTCAATCACGACCTTTGTTTGTGCTATATTATAGTAAGTTCCTGCTCAGAAGGCTTTTTATTTCCCACATGCAAGATGATCAAATAGATCAGCGTTGTGCCACTGCAATCAGAAAAAGCACTCATCGTGGGCCTCCCTTTCGGAACTCTCCTATTCACCTCTGCAAAAAGGAAAGGGCTTTAGCAGCTCACTGCACTATTAATGCAGGTATGGCAAGATATTTCAGTGAAAATTCTCTATCCTGTAGTCAGACCAAATGTGCCAATATTTGGAAAAAGTCATCAAGGATTGAGAATTAAATGGCAGAAGTCTTTAAAGCAGCAAGTGGGACCCCAGTTTATCTTCACTTTCCAGTTACCCTCTATTGCCCAGACCTGTTGCCTCTCCAGTGCTTCCACTGGGTCCCAATCTTCCTTCAGAGGGGAGACCTTCATATGGCCACTATCCATTCCTTCCCTTATCATTTCTTTTCTCCTCTCTTGGGATCAGTTCCTATGGAAAGCCCTTCTCTTTGAAAAATGAAAGATGGAAACTCCGAAAAATAGATTCAACCGATTTGCAGATACCAGACACAACTACCCTTGGGGAAATAAGGCACCTATGCTGTGACTCAGATGGACTAGAAATGAACTACTGCTGGATCCTGCTTGGCTACAAAGGAGCATGACTTCCAAACATGAGCACCGTGTTCCTGCCACCGGCCAGGCGGGACCACGAAGCACTGCTGTGATGAGAGTCTAACCAACAGACAGTGGAGGCTCCGGAGAACTCAAAGAAAAAACAGATAAAATTCTTCATTAAAACAGAAAGTCAGATTATCAATCTCGTCTCTGAACAACCTCATCATTCTTTCAAGTACTGTTTTCATAGTCAAGTGAGGAAATATGGAAGAGTACTAGATGAGAAGCTGGGCAACGTAGGTTCTGGTCCTGGTGCTATTACTTACTGGCTATGTGACCTTGGGCAAGTCACTTTACCTTCCACAGTAATCTCAGTTTCTTAATCTGTACAATGGGTATAAAAACACTTGCCTTATCTACTTCACATTGTGACTGAGGATCAAATGAGATAGTGCAAAATGCTTTATAAACTATGAAATAATGTATGTAAAGGGAATGTATGTAAAGGGAAAGAGAGTACACACTTATTAAAATATTAGGTCATTGTAATTGCCTATCTGATGAGAAGCGCCCCATGCAGGATGTGCTTTGCAATGTACAGACTCAAAAATAGTTGCTATAAATATACACTGGTCTTTTTCACTAGGGTTGTTTAAAAAAGGGAAATTCTTAATTTCCTCAGAAATGGCCACAGAATACATTACTTAAAAATGTGATATTATCCAACTCTACCAATTGATAGAATTAATTTCCTCCAAATATGTCCTGTGCACGTGTTGCTAATCTCCACTTTTCTTCCTGATTTGCTTTGCTTTGCTTTCCGGGGTTTGAGGATTGTGTAGTTTGCATACACTGTATACTGTTCTATTAATAACTTTACACAGGGAAGTCTTGAGTTCAAGAAATAGCATGCTAACACTTAAAAAACAATCCACATAGTTACAGTTCGTTGTAAAGGAAATAAAATGAGAGTAAGTGGCATTCTACATAATGAAGTTTGGCCACAGTTCCTCACATCGTTGCCTTTTTCCTGAGGTACCTCCAGGACAGGCCTCGTCCTGTGAAGCGCTTTAGAGAAACTTAGTCTTGCTGAGGGGAAAGGACATGTAGGTTGGCGACTGGGCTGTGCTCATTCTCAGCACTAGGGTTTGAACAAGAAGGTCTGCGAGAAGCTGCCATACAGCTTTGGTGGAGAGGCCCATACGGCCCAGGAGAGGCGAGCTAGTTCTCAGGTGCCAGGCCAGAGAGTGGAGAACAGCTTGACACAGCCACCCAGTTCAGAGACTTTCAATTCTTCCTATGGGTTGATTCTGCTCTTCTCCGGTCTAGTGAATAATTAAACAGAAGAAAAACAATGAGATGTGGAACACTCTATCTACCTGGACTTAGGGCCTTTCTCTGCCCAGCTGCCAAAAGGTTACATGCAGAACAGACACCCAGGCAAGAAGTGAATGTGGGTGACTGACCAGCCCAAAGCACCCAGATTCCAGGATTTGTGTCAGGAGGCCTTTATTACAACGTTACAAGTGATGACTGGGAAGGAGTCCTGCCAGTGGAACCACTAGAACAGGATGGCTGTCCGCTGGGACCACAGGCACACGTGTTGCTAACCTCCGCTTTTCTTCCTGATTTGCTTTGCTTTCCGGGGTTTGAGGATTGTGTAGTTTGCATACACTGTATACTGATCTGACAGGAAAGGGACATAAAATGCCCGCAGCAGCTTTGAAGATCTGAAAAACAAGGGGGTGGGGGGAAAGAAGAATTTTACCATTTGAGAGAATTTACTAATGGTATTGAAAATGATTCAAGGAAATAAACTAAGTGCTATAGTAAGGATATTTTATATAAGCAGCACAGAAAAGCCTGTTATTTAGCTACTAGACCACGATAAAGTAATCAAAACCAAGTATCTTGTTACCCACACCAAAAAGACAGTCTCCCAATTAAGTCACGGTATAGCCTTCAAAATAGCTCTCGGTCTTCACTTAGCATTAGAACATACCACAGAGAAGTTGCAGGCCAATCAAAGGACTGCTATTTACTGAAATAAATACTTAATACCCAATGGTTTTTGCAGCTAAGAACTGTAGAGACGCTCAAATGATCCTGACTCCAGCACTAAATTTTCCTAGAAAGATAAAGAAAAGCATGTCTGGGCTTCCAGTGTAGTGTTCCAGGAATTCTTTTTTTCTTTAATTTTTATTTATTGATTTTAGAGAGAGAAAGAAAAGGGGAGAGGGGTGGGGGAGAGGGAGAGGGTGAGGAAGGGGAGAGATAGAGATAGAGATAGAGATAGAGATAGAGATAGAGATAGAGATAGAGATAGAGATAGAGATATTTGTTATTCCACTATTTATGCATTCATTGGTTGATTCTTGTGCCCTGACCAGGGATAAAACCCACAACTTTGATGTATTGGGATGATGCTCTACCCAACTGAGCTACCCAGCCAGGGCTCTAGCAATTCTTAAATCAAAGAGAGTCTTATACACAAGCTCATGTCATGACATGTCCCTAGATGAAAACCCGAATTTCTTATGAGTTTCTGAAAAATACTTCATATTTATTGAACACTTAGCATTGGACAAACACCGGGAAAAGTGCTTATACTTTTAAAGATACTATTTGATCCAGCCAATAACCCATAGGAGGAAAGTGATATTATCCCTATTTTATAGATGGGACCTGAGGCTTTCATAAAGGAACTTCTCAGGGTCACACAGGAAGTGACAGAGCCCTCAGTCAAATCCAGCTTTGATTCCAGATTCTGCACTCAACCACTATGGTTTATCCTGTATCACGGGAACAGACTAACAGGATTCATAACTTCACAGAAAATGTGGCAGTGATAGTTTCAAATTCTGTATCAAGCATTACTTCGTGACTGTGATTTCTGAGTCAAAACATCAAAGCTGGCCCAGTTACTGCCACCCTAAATGAGGAAGCTAAAGGGTGTTCCATTGCCAGCCCTTTCTCAGACTCTAAACTTGTAAATGTCATGTCAATGTGGCATTTGCACTGGCAGCCTACCCCTGGGTCTGGCAGACTCCTGCCATGCCTGCACACAATGAGATCGTGCTTGGCATACACACCCCTTAGAAAGGCTCCCCACTGGGACCCTGGCAATGCTCTGTGCTCAACAGAGATGCACTTCAACAGCTAACCGTTCAAGGGCTCTGATAGAGAAAGAGGCTTAGAAGAGACACACGAGATAAATCAGAGCTTCTGCAAACACAAGGAACAGGAGGAGAAAGCACCTACCTGAGCCAGAAAGAAGTGAATGTATTCTTTTCTTTTTTTTTTTTTTTGCAACAGCTATAACTGGCTGTTGTTTTTTTTTTGTTTTTTTTGCAACAGCGTGAATGTATTCTTTCTGCCCATGCTACACAGATAAGGGGAAGGTCAGAACAGAAGGCTGTAAGCCGGAGCAAACTCCTGCAAGCTTAAGTGTGGTGAAGAAAAGCCAACACTAACTTAGCGCCATCTCCACTCCACGATAAAAGCTTCATTAACAGAGTCAGCACATACTGCCAGTCAACTCAGTCCCAGGTACAACATTAGGGCCACTGGGCCCAATGTGAGTGTTTGACTTTCTTTTGGAACAATTCCTTACTATTTGGAAGGGTTATTATTTCATAATGTTAATCTTTTTAGAGTTTTCCAAAGAACAAAGAGAGATTATACTGATTTTTAAAAAACAGAATAAAAGATTTTATCTTGTAATTACCATATGGATCCATTGTACCTTTTTATAAATTTAAGCTATATTGTAAGATCTCAGTGGTCTCATTTTTTTTTTCTGTATCTTGGATTATTTACAACTATGCTTTTTAAAACAAGACTAAAGTAATAAGAAAAAGGAAAATGATTAAATTACCAAACAGAATGATGCAAAAGTAAAATAAATAATCACTATTGCATTATCCTTCAATTTTTTCTTTTTTTAAAAAAATATATTTTATTGATTTTTCACAGAGAGGAAGGGAGAGGGATAGAGAGCTAGAAACATCAACGAGAGAGAAACATCGATCAGCTGCCTCCTGCACATCTCCTACTGGGTATGTGCCCGCAACCAAGGTACATGCCCTTGGCCGGAATCGAACCTGGGACCTTTCAGTCCGCAGGCCGATGCTCTATCCACTAAGCCAAACCGGTTAGGGCTCAATTTTCTTATTGCATTGCCCAAAGTATTGCATCATCATTAAATAAGGTATGAAAAACTGAAGACATTATCTTTGCTTTCATTGAACATGTTGAGAATTCAGAATTTTAAAAATTGCAATCCATTATGGCAATGAGAAGAAAACTGACAGGAGACATTTTACAAGTATTAGACAAAACAGCAGATGAATGAAAAGAGAAACAGCAGCACTCAAGATTCTGATGATGGTGAAATTGATCTAACAAGCAAAATTTGCCTGTGCATCTTCAGATGACAATATACTGCATGAATTTTCTCAAACTCAGGAATTAATGAGTAAACAATATATTTCCAGGAACAAAAAGGGAATAAGGTATTTTCATTCAATTAGTCATTCAACAGGAAAGACTTTGTCATGCAGTATTTTGCAACAAGAACCTGGACCGACCTGTTATGTTAACAGGGCATCTGACCACATTTTTGCATCTTTCATGAGGTCTGTGTGCCAAATTTTATTTAATAAAATAAGTGGGCATATGCTGAAGGCAAGTTCATATACAAAGGTGACTGGAAGGACATAGATGAAAAAGAAATAAAAAATTCAATGAAGTCCTGGCCGGAGTGGCTTAGTTGGTTGGTTGAGCATTTTCCCATGCACTGAAAGGTCACCGGTTTGATTCCCAGTCAGGGCACAAGCTCAGGTTGCTGGCTTGATCCCCTGATCCCTGGTAGGGGTGCATGCAGGAGGCACCTGATTGATATTTATCTCTCTCATCACATCGATGTTTCTCTCTTTCCTTTCCTCTCTCTCTCAAATCAATTAAAAAAAATATTTAAAAAATTCAATGAAACCCTGGCCAGTGTGGCTCAGTTGGTAGAAGCATCGTTCTGTACATAGAAAGACCTTAGGTTTGATTACAGGTCAGGACACATACCTAGGTTGCAGGTTCGATCCTGGGCCCTGGTTGGGGTACGTGCAGGAGGCAACTGATCGATGTTTCTCTCTCACATCAATGTTTCTCTCTCTGTCTCCTTTTCCCTCTCTCAAAAAAGTCTATGAAAATGTCCTTAGATGAGGACTAAGAAAAATTTCAATGGATTGATCATTTTAACTGGTGTTTATAACATATAAAAGTGAAAATGTTTGCATTACAGAGCAAAAAAGATAGCTGCCTTCTCTTTAACAAAATTGAATCGTTAAAGGTTTCAAAGAATTCTTCAAACTTTGCATTTTGATGATACAAGTGCAAAAACAACCAGAAGCAATAAGTTAGAACCTATTAGAGATGTACCTGAAGCCCAGAACCAGTATTTTCAAGATGCATAGGTTCTACTTTAGAATTAACATTATTTATCTTTAACATCTAAAGCCACTAATTTCTTCAAGAAGATGAAGTGAGGAACAGTCAATACACACACCTCTGAGCTGGGATAGGAACATTCTGTGATTTTTTTAAAACAAAGAGAACAAGTTGGGTTGAATTCCTCATTTTTAAAACTATCGCTGCTGTTCTAGATGAGTGTCTTTACCATGAATAGCTTTAATATGCTAAGCATGACTAGGATCTTTTAAATTGTTATACTGTACTATTGCTGGAAAAGGGAAAATGAAATTGGTTGTTTGCCTTTGAAAAGAGTAGCTCAGCACTAGAATAACATGTGTTTCCATACACATGGAAACAAAGATTAGACTGAATCACAAATTAGAATAAAAGTAATACCTATCAAAGCTCATACAACACTGTCTGTAATTATGTGAAATGCCAACATATTGCTCTGAGGAAGCACAGACAGCAGAATTTAGGGAGATGTGCAATATATGCCTCTATCATGGAAATGGAAATACTTCACTTACCAGTGAGCAAGTCACTCAAGTGAGTCAAAGATGAAACAGACTTGGACAAAGCTATTGTCTGAATAGCATAATTAGCTGACAGCTCAGAATGTTTTCTAATTCAATTACCAGCCATATTTATCAAGGTTAGGAAGTGCTCTGTGGAGATTTAAATCTGCTCTTGCTGATGTCAATGGAAGACGGGCTGCCAGTCCCTGATGTCTCTAGTTCAGCAGGCACAAAAGGAAATGCTGGGTCAATTTTTCATTTTAAAAAGAAAACGTCCTAGTACTAAGGTTTTCTCTTTTATTTTTATCCATTCATCCACTCATCCAAATATTAATGTCCATGTGAACCCGTAGTCTAAACTGACTGCCAGTTCTTTCTTTTTGAAGCTAGTTTCCTCTCTCTGTGTCTCTGTCTCTTGCTCTCTCTTGCACTTAGCTCACATTTCAGTTACTCTTTCTACAACCCTCAGGGCAGAACTGAATTTTCACAACAATCTTCTGTTCTGAAGAGAATCTCCAAATTCCCTCAAGACTTCATCTATAGTCAACCTATAGTCCTGAGAACTGCTCAAAAAGCTGGTATGTAGTAAAAACGTGACTGCAGTTTAATATTCTTTAACAGGAAATGGAGTGAGGGGCATTACTCTCATGGTCAGTGAGTAATGCAAAGGTGACATTTATTGCATAAAAGAGAAATGAACACAGGAGTTGCTTGCTACATTTATACTCTACCAGAATTTCAGTCCC